CCCAGTGTCCTGGCCTCAACTGCCTTTCCTGGCAACATCTTCCGATCGCCAATTACCTTCTGGGTAAAGAAAAACTTCCCGGTGTCTTGTCCTGAAATTGCCCTTTGCCATTGTCCTCTTATCCTACTGTCTCGCTGAATCCCAATGTACTATTCTAGGTTCACTTTTCCAATCCTATTTTAAATTTTACGCACCTTATCCTGTGCTTTGGGACATCCTCCTGATGTCCCAGAGGAGGCTCTCTACAAGTATAATTTGTTGTTGCTGTTCGACTCAGAAGCCAATGCCCCACCTTAGCCAAGGCCTCACTACCTTGAGAAACCGAGTGAAAATCGCTCCTTAAATGAATCTGTAGACGTCTCTTTGATCTCAGACAATCAGTTCAAGGCAGGTAGCATTCCTTGATCGGGTCTTTCAGAAGTGGACGGTTTAACTTGGGCTCACAGTTTCTGGGCAGGGAAGGGGTTGGTGGAGCACTTTATTAACGGAGGTCCCAGCTCAGGTGGTTGTTAAAGATCCCACTATCGGAGAAGATACGGGAATTTGACAAAATTTCCACAAAATACAAAGTACACAGTCACTACACTTTACAGTATCATTCTGTGAAGTATTTTGAGACGTCTGGAAGACGTAAGAAGGCGCTATATCAAATGCAAGGATTATTATTATTATTATTATTGTTGTCTAAGTGCTCTGCTTAACCAAACTGAAAAACGTTCTAATAATAATACGATTTTACTCTGGCGTTTGCGTTTGGAGGGATGATTACCCCCGGAAAGCGATCCGCCAAGTTTTGTGAATGCTTTGAAGAGTCCGAACTCCATCTTGCACAGCAATCTATTCCACCCCCATGGATCCAGTTGCTTTGTCTATGTGCGTTGGGGCATCTGGAATCAGTTTGTCTAGTCCTCTGTCTGGCTGTAGCTAAAGGGGGGCGGGGAAGGGGGGGAGTGTAAACTGTGTAAACCTAAAGACAGAACCACCACAACTCACTACAAACTCTCAGATCCCTGCACTGAACATGTTATTGACTCCAGCATTTATGTAACACCCGTCACAAACCCTGGCGTCTGGGAGCGCTTAAAATATCCCGCATTAATAATAATCCTTGATATAGCACGCTATCGTGTCGTCGAGGCACCTCAAAGCGCTCCACAGAATAGATTGTAAAGTGAATTAATTGACTGCGTATTTCGAGGGCGAAATTTTGAGGGCGTTAATTACAACTGAGGCGCCACCTCAGAGCTTTTCGGGGCCATTTCCCTGAATTTGGGAATAATTATTTTAGGAAGTAATAATAACTCACCCGCGTTATTTCGATACTACCTGCAGCACGCAGCCAGAGAAGCTCAAGAATGTCTGCGTGTTAAACCCGGGGCCGAAAGGGCATAGCTTTACCGCTGCTCGTGTCAGTCGGCGTGTCACCTCCTGTACTGTCAGCATGTCGTGCGGAGAGACATTTACATGTTTAACCCTGCAGCTCAACCGCTCGAGCATGTTCGGTTAACGCCTGTACTTACAGGAGTTTCGCCCACAAAATATACAGTCAGTTCACTTTACGATGTATTCTGTGAAGCGCTTTGGGATGTCTCGACGACGTGAGGAGGCGCTACATCAAATGCAAGGATTATTATTATTATTATTATGTCAAATAAAACTCAGTATCGTTTCACTGCGTATCGTGCGATTTAATTGCTGGGCTCTTCCTAACTCTTCCTAACTTTGCCAATAACGCGCGCACACCGCCACTGGCAACGACGACGACGAGAACGACGACGACAACAGCAGCAAATTACGCCTGGGGAGGACGTCCCGAGGCGCTGGACAATCAAGGATTCGCACCCGAACTGAGCGCTTTCGCTGCGAAAAAACCGCGCTCGCCGAATAAACCAACTGCAACAGCCGCAGAGAGAGCGCGCACCCGCCACCGCGAACAGCCTCGCCTGTCGGGCGGACCCGTTTCTGAGCTGCGGGCTGCTGGCTTCCCAGTGAAGGCTCTTCCACAGGATTTCGCGGAAGGATCTTATGCTTCAAGACCAAATGGACGTGCTAACCCGAACCCTCGCCCTAACTCCGAGCCGTCCGTTTACGTAGCAATTTGCCGTATCCCTCGTGTCAAGACGGTGGTGAATTCCCGGAGGTGCGGAATCTCCCGATATCAACTGCAATGAGCAGCGTGACACCCAGTGGTGAGAAGATATAGTGGCAGAGGTCCGCACTGCAGTACAGTACTTACTGCGTCGGGCTGCACAGTCTCGGGGCTTTACTCCAGTATCTCCACAGCGAATCTGTGTTTTTTTTGGGGGGGGTTGGCTGCGCGTCCAGAAGCCTTTGCGGAACCTTCTCGTGTCCGGCACCTCCGGTGACTGATTCGCACTGCTCTGCCAACGCGCTCTCTCGATCGCGACACCCTCCTCGACTTGTGCGGTTGGTTGGCAGTCGACACTTTTCACTGTGTCCCGTGAAGATCCTGGGTCAGCCTGGTTCAGTTTGGTGGCCCTCCTGTCTCTGGGTCAGTGTCAGTTGGTGGCACGTATATATACGCGCGCAGCAATATTTGCCAACAACCGAACAGTCACTACACTTGACAAGAATCGCCCGAGACACGCTTTGAGCCGCTTCGTGCAACAATAATCTTGGCATTCGATTTATAATAATAATGACAACGATCCTCGCATTTGATACAGAGCCTCATCACGTCTTCGAGACGTCTCAAAGCGCTTCACAGAACATACTGTAAAGTCAATTGATTGCATATTTGTGGGGGAAACCCGGCAGCCAATTGCGCACCGCAGCGCCCCCGCAAACAGACGTGGATTGAGTGACCATTATTTTTGAGGGATTATCATCCCCGGAATAGCGATCCGCCGATCGACTAACAACCCGGGTTCCCACTTACTACCTTCCCATTTTGTAGCCGACGTATAAGGCAAATTATTGTCGCTTTGTTAAACGTAAGGAATATTACGATTTAATCTTTCCACACATCACAGAGCACCTCTGAGCGAGCGTTGCTCCCTTTGAATCCAGATTGTTCTTTACCTGATCTGGGAGTGTTGGTAACCTTTCTCTAAGGCCTCCCCCCCCCCCGAGGCATTTATTTCACTGAAGTATTACAAGGGTATTTATTCAGAACACGGATTCTCTCGGGGCTCTTCTGTGCCCGTTTTACATTCCAAACGATTACTAACTCCCGTCCTCGCACAGGCAACACGGCGCATTAATCAGAGAGTCAAAGAAATTATGTCCATCAACCATTCAAGCCTACATTGGCACTGCGAGATCAGCCACTGGAGCGAACTACTGTAAATCTCAATTCCCTGTTTCTCCTTGCGTTTCTCTTCACGGGCAGAGCGTTCCCGTCTTCAGTGCTGCGGCGTCAGCCTTAACCGGGGCGCGCGGAAAAAAATCACCCACCGCGTGGACGCATCTTCCAAGAAGCTCCGGAACTCGTACGGGTAACAATCCTGAGCTCAAACCCCCTCGAAAATAACGTGCATTTACACGGGGCCCTCCACACAGTTCCAAAGCCTCGGGGGCGTAGTGGCTGAAATCACGGCCGTCATTAATTCGCAACGGAGACGGAGGCGAGGCGGCGGCGGGGGGGGGGGGGGGGGATTAAGGGCAGGGGGCGCTCCAGAAATTATGGGCAACAGGAAAAAATCCGAAATACAAAATGCCCGTCCTACCAACCCACCATCTCTGGTCCTTTAATGATCGGCAGTGCCCTCATCGGCTGATGTTTCCGGTGATTGTTTTCCGGTCTTTTTTCAACATCGCCATTTCTCTCTCAAGACGCGTAATCTTCCGGGCGACTCGAACGGGGAGACATCCTGCCTCGACGGTTCAAGCCCCAAGTCGGGCTTTTCAGCTCACGGGTCCAAGGCTGATGCGATTTAATAAGTTAGCGCTGTATTGTCAGGTGCGCCGCGCTGCGGGGGTCAGTCATTAAACCTCGTCGGGCGAACTCTGAAGATTCCATTAAGAGAGAGAAAAGGGAGTTAATTAATCCCCTGGATAATGTTTGGCTCATTTCTCTCCAGGGCTAATTGTGGGACCATGCTGTGTGCAAATTGGCTGCCGGGTCCGCCTGCAAAACATACGGTCTACTCCTCGATGTTCGCCTCTACGTCAAATGCGTATGGCATTAAAGTGGTCAGGTTTCGTTCCGAAACACCTAGCCGGTCAAGTCCAGTTGCCGTCAGTGGAAATAAAAGAGAAAGCAAGAGATGCGTCCTCCGAGGTCTGTCTGGAGCTTCCGAAGTGATCGCACGTCCAGTTAACACCTGATGTCCAATCAGCGCAGTCTCGACAAAAGAGGCCACCTAAGCCGCGCACCAGTAGGAATTCTGGCTGCTGCGGACGTCAGCGGTCCATCGCAGCACACTGCCGGTCACTCGGTTAGCAGGCGAGCGATGTGTTGGATGCGAACAGGTCCCCCGTTCTGCATGGCTTTGCCTGGAGAAGTCAACCACCTGCTCGAACAGAACAGCGCGCACGCCCACACTGACCGCTCTGAATAGCTCGTGAGTGGGTGGAACGCAGTACGGTGGAGTCCCGTAGCTCAGCGGTCAGTGCGCTCGGCTCGCGAGCGAGAGGACCCGGGTTCGATTCCCCGGGCAGGGCGTAACGTTGGGCAAGTTTCCTCACTCCACACACACACACACACGCGCGCGCTTCTGTGTACCCGGCAGTAAGTAGGAACCCGGTTGTTAGTCGATTGGCGGATCGCTTTTCCAGGGGTAATAAAACCTTTTAAAAAACATTCTAATAAACTGGTCACTCAATCCACAACTGTTTGTGGGACGCTGCCTGCTGCATTTCCCCCAAAATGTAGTCAATTCACTTTACAGTATGTCCTGCGAAGCTTTTGAGACATCTCGAAGACGTGATAAGGCGCTGTATCAAACGCAAGGATTATTAGTATTATTATTATTATTATAGTAAACTCCTGACAACTCTTCGATCGAGTGGAAAAGGGTTCAAGGACGAGCTACACGGAAAGAGTTGAAACGATTTTTTTTTTCAGGAATAGCCACGGCAGACATTTATTTTGCGTGCGAACGTATCGAAGACAATGTAATTAAAGAGGATTTTAAACAAACTATAAATTTTTAAGGCATGGCACGGAAAAGCAGCCGAAACAGGTACGGATGAAGCACTTTGGGGTCCCACTCAAGTGAACAGCTAGTAATTATCAGAGTTTTAATTCCAATTAAAACTCTTCATTACGTTCACAAAGAAGCCAGCTGTTGAACGGTGCCTGTAGTTTGGGTCCATTTATTTGTGTAAACCGGTCGAGAGAGAGCTTAATCCTGTGGGATTAGTCTTCCTGAAAGAGAAAAGTGGGAAAAATCCGAAATATTCAGAAAAATACCTTTCTAAATATCAAATATTATTCGGTTGCGTTATAGTTATAGTGACAAAATATTAAAACATTTCAAAAAAATAAAAATATTTTCAAAATTAATATTTTAAAAAAATGAAGAAAAATCTGAACTATTAAGACCTGGCGCGATTTTGGGTTTCCAGGCAGACGCAAGGGGTAGGGGGGACAACACCAACAGCGCCCCTCGCCCAGGGTAGTCCCGTAGCTCAGTGGTTAGAGCACTCGCTTTGTAAGCGAGAGACCTGAGTTCAATTCCAGGCAGAGGGCGAAACCTTGGGCAAGTTTCCTTACTCCACACAGAGCCTAATAATAATCCCTCCAAAACCAAAAACAATAATAAATTGGTCATTTTCAATCTACGACTGTTTGTGGGACATTGCTGTGCGCAATTGGCTGCCGCGTTCGCCCACAAATGTACAGTCAATTCACTTTACAGTGTGTTCTGTGAAGCGCTTTGGGACGTCCTCCCGACGTGAAAAGCGCTATATCAAATGCAAGGATTATTATTATTATTATTATTATTATTATTATTATTAGCATCCCAACGAGCTTGACGGTAACGGAGCAAACGGAGTAACGGTAACGGAGTTTCCCTCCGGTGGCAAACATCAGTGAAGTTACCTTCGCCGGGCGCGGTTTATTTTTCACCGACGTAGGAAACGTTCTTCCCGGTCTTTTTCAGGGTCTCCAGCAGGACATCCACGCTGTGCCTGGACTCGATCACGACTTTTTTCTCGGGCAGATCAATGCTGAACTGAACGTCTGCGGGAAGCGGAGAGGTTCAAACTTTTACAGGGATGGGACCGTGGGGTTCTGTCTCCACAGCAAACGGCCGACAGCATCCTCCGGTCACACTCAATAGAAGACGCATTAAGAGATTTGTTTCCGACGGCTTCTGCTAGTGGCTGTCTGTTTCCCCCCCCCTCCCCCCCACCCACCCCCACGCGAGCCCCCCTACCGACGCACGAACAAGGTGGTCTCGCCCGCTCTACCCGGCAGACTTTCCCGAGCACCTGCATTTCCTGTAGGGGCTAAAACATCTCGGTCGGTAACGACCGTGGCTCGTGTTTGGCTGGTGAATCAAAAAGAGGGGTGGGGAGGGAGGGGGGGCAGGGGGGTCACACGCAAGCAACCAAAAGTCCCGCGACCCGAGCCACCGATTTGGTCGGTTTACCGGGAGCAACTCTCCCTCCCCTCGTTGAGTCTTTAACCGCCGCCTCTCGGTTCAACAGAGACTCCACCGCTAACAACGCGGAGCTCCCCGTTACCCCACTGGAGTCTCAGCCTCGACTTACCTCAACCCAGAGGTGAGAGAGAATCGCTCCGCACACACACACGCACACGCACACACGCGCACACGCGAGCGCGTGAGAGTCGATCTGACTCGATTCCCCGCGCCCCCACCCCCCCGCCCCCCCCCACCTCTCCCCCGCCCCAACACGCACCCACCGCGCTCTCTGCCAACTCACCTCCCAGTTTGTTCAGGACTTTGGTCACAGCGCCCGAACACCCTTCGCAACTCATGTCGACGGAAAACTCGCGTTTCTGCACAAGGCAAAGGGTTGAAAACAGTTCAAACCCGAACAGAAGATTCCTATTCCCCCCCAAACACCCCCCACCCCCACCCCCCGCCCCCCGCGCACACACACACACAGGGTGACAGAGAGCACCCCCCACCCCCCGCACACACACACACACAGGGTGACAGAGAGCACCCCCCACCCCCCGCGCGCACACACAGGGTGACAGAGAGCAGCCCCCCCCCACACACACCCCCACCCAGGGTGACAGAGAGCACCCCCACCCCCCCACCCAGGGTGACGGAGAGCACCCCCACCCCCCCCACACACACACACAGGGTGACAGAGAGCCCCCCCCCCCACACACACAGGGTGACAGAGAGCACCCCCCACCCCCACATACACACACAGGGTGACAGAGAGCACCCCCCCCCCACACACACACACAGGGTGACAGAGAGCCCCCCCCCCCCACACACACACAGGGTGACAGAGAGCACCCCCCACCCCCTCCACACACACACACACAGGGTGACAGAGAGCACCCCCCACCCCCACATACACACACAGGGTGACAGAGAGCACCCCCCA